CTGTGCTGACAGCTCGGAGCCTGGAGCCCGCTTCAGATTCCGTGTCTCTCTCTCTCTGACCCTCCCCTGCTCACACTTGGTCTCTCAAAATAAGTAAACATTTAAAACAAAAGATGCCTATACCTTGCCTGCTTTTCTACTTGTCTTTTACTGAAAAGTGCTTTAGATTCTGACCAGGATACAAACCCCAACAGTGTGATTCCTGTCATCAAATGTCCATAAACGTTTTCAAATCAGAAACCGCCTGGGACAAAACTTGCTGAGCAGTCCCGTTGTTCGGTGGCATCTGTAAATCAAGTCTCTCTGCCCCTCACTACATCACGTCGTAAGATTTTTTTGGGGGGGGGTGACATAGAACACAGGGTGCACGCAGACACGGGGCCACCCCAAACACTCGGCTGCCGTAACTGAGCAACGGGGGTGACTCTCCCACGAGAGCCACATGAGGCTGCTCAGGAGAGAACAGGACAGAGCGTCTGTTCCCAGGATGAGCCCCTGAGGGCCACGGGGCACACCCTCTAACACACGGCCAGACACTGGCCAGCCGCTCCCCGAAGGAGCCCCTCGTGAGGAGTGGATTCCCTTCACTGCCCGCCTTCTAATCAGCCCTTTGGATTTGCACCTCTGCCCGCCCAGCGCCGACCGCCTCCTGCAGGAAGGCCCCCGCCTCTCCAGCGGGCTGTGCGCAGGTAGGCGCCGTCTTCCCCCCGTGGTTCCCCCGACAAAACCTCGCGGTCACTGCCCAGAGCTCAACCCGGCTTGAGGCACTGGGAGGGTTCCCAGGGGATCCCTTGATGACATTCAGAACATTTAATTCCCAGGCAATGAGTCTGTGAGTCCGACGACGTGGGGGAACAGGTGCCAGGCTTGTGTTCCGTTGCATGAGATTTTGGGGGTTCGTGTCATTTTAAAACCTGATGGCTTCCATTGTCACACGGGCTGGGTCCTTGTCACCTCAGCGTCCTCAGTCCCCTCCCCCATTTACCTGGCCACCCCCTCCTTTTCCCGGGAGAGCCTTCCCGCATAACCTAACCCAGCACCGCCCCTCGTTCTGTTCTCGGAAAGTACTCTGTTCTTATCACCTGTGGAATGAAGTACTTTATATTCTTGGTTAACCCAAGCGGTGCACACTCAGCAGCGATCCACGACTGGAGGCGGGCGGCAGAGACAAGGGGTGCGGGAACTGAGTGTGGCCACCATCTGGCTCCAGCCTCGAGCGGCCCCGTGTTCCCAGATCATCCCTATTTTCAAAGGGAGCCAGAAATCTCGGCTCTAAAAGCGGAGCCCCTCCCAACATTTAAATAGTGGCAAATAGTTACTGCTAGAAACACCGCGGAGGCCAAACGAAACACATCAGCGGCCCCCAGTTCGTGGCCTCTGGTTCAATACATACCTTCCCCGGTCGCCTCTCGGTGCCACAGGGGCACGTGCTGGGTCTGCCCTGCTCACCACCGCGTCTGGATCCAAGACGCAAGAGACAGAAACAGGTGAGGGCCTCTCCCGGTGGAGCCCCGGGCTCGGAAGGAATGTCCTGGCAGGGAGCTGGCGTCCCCCGGCTGCCCGTCTTCTCGCTCTTGACCGCCCCTCGGAAAGTTCTCCGCCTCCTTCAGGCCTCACTCCCGGGCAACCGCTGCGAGCCTCCTCATCGCCTAGCCTGGAGCCGTCACAATGGCCAGGGCGGCCCCCGCCTCTGTGACATCACCAACGGCCCAGCCCTGGGCACCCAGTCTCCAGGTGCAGGCACACAGACCCACCATGAGCTATTCCCTCCCCCGCCTCTGCTCACCATGCGGACGCTGACATGGGTCTTGTTCTTGCCTCTGTGCCTCTCCTGCGGCTGTGCCTTCATGTTCACGTCTCTGAGAGAGAAAGCCAAGGAACCCCAGGGCAAGGTGCCTTGCGGAGGGCACTTCCGGATCAGGCAGAATCTCCCAGAGCACGCCCAAGGCTGGCTTGGGAGAAAATGGCTCTGGCTTTTTTTTGTCGTCGTGCTGTATGTGATACTAAAGTTTCGAGGGGATCGCGAGAAGACTAAGGTAAAAGGGTGGGAAGGGTTTCCATCGCACCGATTCCGTCTCAAGACGCGTCCGCCCCGGAGAGGCACGCATTCCAGTAGGTTCCGCTCCGGGTCGTGAGGCAGAACCGAGCAGGAGGCGGGGCGCCCACCTCACGGTCCTGCGAGACGTGGGCACATCCATGTCCTGACGTGTCCTTAGGGAGGCTGGCAGTCCCCAGACCCCCGGGGGGATGGGCTACCGATTGAGGACGGCCTCCTGCTCATGGGGCGAATGAAAGCTTGGCCTGATACTCATCCTGTCAAGTGAGTCCTTTCAAAGTAAGGATAGAGTCGGGAACTTGGCGTGTTTCGGGTCAAAGTTAGTCTCAGAGACACCTTCACCGCCGGGTTCGTTCCCTGATTCTTGATTTCCCTGGCGTCTGACTTCTTACAAGTTGCTGAACTGGGGGCAGGTGGCGCCATTGTCCCCAGTAAAGGACAAGGCCGGTCGTGAAGGGGTAAAGGTGTGAAGAAGTAACAGCTCCTTCCTACGGTGGCTGAACAGCTAGCTCTCAGTCGGGGAAAAGGACAGAAACACGGCACGTTCTCTGCTAGACAGCCACAACACTTCGTGGCACTGCGTCCAGACCGATAGAGCAGCGGTTGGCAACCCTTTTCTGGAAAGGGCCAGCTGGTCAGTGTTGTCAGCTCCGGAGCCTGTACGGTCCCCGTCGTAACTCCTCAACTCTGCCGCGTTGGCCTGAAAGCAGCCTTGTGTAATGTGTCACTAAATTGGCAAGGCTGTGTCCCAATAAAGTTTTATTTACAAAAACAACGGGAGGAAAAAAAAAAGAGAGAGAGAGAGAGGTTAGAGTGGGAGAGAGCCAAAGCATAAGAGACTCTTAAAAACTGAGAACAAACTGAGGGTTGATGGCGGGTGGGAGGGAGGGGAGGGTGGGTGATGGGCAGTGAGGAGGGCACCTGTTGGGATGAGCACTGGGTGTTGTATGGAAACCAGTTTGACAAATTTCACATATTTAGAAACAAAAACAAAAACAACAACAACGGGAGGTACAGATCGGGCCACAGTTCGCCAATCCCTGGCCTCGAGTGCAATGCTGGAACCACCCTTACTTAGGCCAGCCCGACTCTCTTGGAACCGTGTGGAAGCCAGCAAAGTCAACAGTATCATTCACCCTGCATATCTTTCTTGACAGGAGCAGAATCCTTCTGGGCTTCGAGGCTGCTCATTTCGCTCTCCGCTGAAGAAGACTCAAAATACTTCCCCCAGCAAAGACTATGCGTTCAATACCTTAACCCAGCTCGAGGTGGACCTTGTGAAATTTGTGTCCAAGGTGCGCAACCTGAAAGTCGCCATGGCAGCTGGAGGTAACTCCAAGCTTCAGAACCTGGAGGCGCCTGTGGACCCTCACAATAACATCACCATCTATGAGATATGGGGGGAAGAAGACTCTGAATGAATGGATTTATGTGTCAGAGGAGGAGAGAAAAAGCTGAGTGTTGACAGACCCTATGTAAACTAATAAAACTATTCTGAAGAAAAAGGATATTCTTGAATGTGACACCTTCCCCCCTCCTTTCTTTTTAAAAAAAAAATTTTTTTTTAACGTTTATTTATTTTTGAGACAGAGAGAGACAGAGCATGAACGGGGGAGGGGCAGAGAGGGAGGGAGACACA